CATACTGCAGTTATCTCCTTATTAATTTAACAAATATTCATTGAGTACTTACTCAGTTAAGACTTTCCAAAGAGAGCAAATGGAAAGGTGGTGTAGGAAGGGATTTGAGGACAGAAGTGAAATAGCACCTTATCCTGGAGTAATCATAGAGAGCTTCCTTTAGGAAATGGAACGTGGTTGGCTCTTTAAGAACGAATAGAATGTAACCAGATGTAGAAGGCCATCTGGAGACAGGAGGAGAACTCTCTGCCAGAGTGGTGAGAAGTATGTATGTAAAAGGCTGTAGGGAAGATGGTTATCCAATATTCAGAAGCTGGAGTGTGTGTGTGTGTGTGTGTGTGTGTGTGTGTGTGTGTGTGTGTGTCTATCTTCATGATAAACAAATTGAATGTACTCATTTATGTCAGCTGTATACTGAAATGCTGCTAATAAAGTAATCTAAAAAGTGTAAACTCACAAGGATAAAAAGACAGTAAGAGATACCACTGAGTGATAGAGCTGACAACTTTTTAGAATATTGCAGGTATATAAATGAGTGATAAACTAGCTTGGCAGAATGGAAAAAACTGGAACCTAAAGGCTTCAAGAAGCAGTATAATTCAAACCGTAGAACTCCGGAAGTGCTTAGGATTTGGAAATGATGCCTGAGATCGCGTGATAGAATTTTTAAGACCAACGACTTCTTAATTGCAGATACCTTTTTTCAGCAACATTAACAGCGACTGTACCGGTGGACCTCACCAGATGGAATTCACAGGAATCAAATCAACTACATCTGTGGAAAGAGATGATGGAAAAACTCAATATCATCAGTCAGAACAAGGCGAGGGGCTGACTGCGCAACAGACCATCTGTTATTCCTGTGCAAGTTCAAGTTGAAACTGAAGAAAATTAGAAAAAGTTCACAAGAGCCAAAGTATGACCTTGAGTATATTCCACTTGAATTCAGAGACCATCTCAAGAACAGATTTGATGCACTGAACACTAATGACCGAAGACCAGATGAGTTGTGGAATGACATCAAGAGCATCATAAATGAAGAAAGCAAGAGGTCATTAAAAAGACAGGAAAGAAAGAAAAGACCAAAATGGATGTCAGAAGAGACTCTGAA